TTCATCGAGGGGGATGAACTCGAAGTCTCCATCCGGGATTGGTCGGAGGAGTTCCTGTTTTCCGTTGGGTGCTTCATCCTTGTCGAAGCGGGTGTCCAGCGAGATGGAGTCGACCTTGGGTGGAGCTCTTTATTCTTTTGTCTTGATGGACAATGGTTCATGTCGAGCAATAGCAGCTCTCTTAGCAGGTCGTGCCCCGGTGTCGACCGTACTCAGTCCCTTTGAAGCCGCGTTGAAACATATTCGGGTAGCTGAAATACTGTCGTGGATGATGGCGACGCATCCCCTCTTCGTGTAGAATTTCATCTTTAGATGGACGGTGGAGGGGACATCGGTTAATTCGGCCAGCATCAGTCTCCCTAGGATGCAGTTGTAGAAAGACGGGCATTCGATGACCAGAAATCGCACCTTGACCTGCCGGGCGGCGGTTTCCTCCTCGAAGGTGACGAAGAGCTCCACATATCCCAATGGTTTGGAGGTTGAGCCATTGAAACCCTATAGGTTATACCCCATGTATGGTAAAAGGTGGGTGTCATCGAGCTGTAGGGTTCGGAAGAGATGGTTGTACATAACATCGACGGAACTCCCTTCGTCGACCAAAATGCGATGAACATCAAAATTAGCCATCCTTTCCCTTACTAGAAGAGGGGTGCTTGAGTTGGGGGCCCCTCTGGGCAACTCTTCGAGGTAGAACATGATCGGCTATGACCTAGCCTTAACCTTTTTGAAAGTTACCGCTTGAGTCGGGGCTGCGTCAGCCAACTCGTCGAGCTTCCTCTTTGTGGAGTTTATGGATATGTAGTTGAACCCCTCGCCAGTTATAACCATGGCGGAGGGGAATCTTGCCACATACCGTGCATGGATATAGGTTCTTCTTCGTGTGTGTCGGGGACGTAGAAGTCCTTCGGCCTTGTAACAGAGAAGGCTATTTGGATGGGGGCCATTTCATATGATGGTCGAGTGTCTTCCTCGACCTCTTTTGTTTTGCGGGCATCCCGGCGAGGGGCGTTATTGCAGCGATATTGCTCGAGCCTGCCACCCTTGATGAGGGTTTCGATGGTGTCTTTGAGATAGACGGAGTCTTCCGTCAGATACCCGTGGCTCCGGTGGTACTGACTATATTGCTCCTGTCAGCCCTGAGCTTTGCAGGGGTAGAGCGAGGACGTTTGACACCACCGTCCTTGAAGTCGGTATTAGCACACTCCACCAAGATGCGCTCGTAGGAAGCTGTCTGTAGAGTGTATTCTGTGAATTGGCCCGCGGCCCCCTGTGCTCGCGGGGATCCCGTGGTTTGTCATCCCTCCTATTCTCGCGTGTTCATCGAGGAGGGGCTGCGTCTTAGTGTCGCAGGGAGTTGGTTGGTCCGCGGTTCCTTGGGTCGCAGGCTTTATTGGCCACTTCCCTCTCCTCGTAGTCCATATAGGCCCTAGCCTTTTCTAGGAGAGCATCAAATGTCCGAGGTGGTTCGATGCCAACGACCTTCCTGAACTCCGTGCCCAAGAGGAGTCCCCTCTTGAGTAGATACCGTTTCATATGATTGGTACAAGGGACATGTATAGCCTCGCGATTGAATATATCTATGAACTCTCTGAGGGTCTCGTCGCTCCTTTGGATGATAGCCTCGAGGGCGGTCTCGGTCTTTGGGTATCGACAAGACGCTGTAAAGGAGCTGATGAACTGGTTTTTCAAGTTCCTCCAGGAGGTGATCAACCCCGGGGGGAGATTTTTATACCAGTCCATCGCAATTTTCCTCAAGGTCGTGGGGAACAATCGACACTTGATTGGTCCCCCAATGTTATGATAGTGGAGCATTACTTCAAACACGTCGATGTGGTCGACTGGGTTGGCAAAGCCATCATACTCCTTCAGTTGGGGAGGCTTCTCCATTCCTTTAGGAATGGGCTCCTCCATGATTTCCTGTGATAAAGGACCGCGGGGGTCGTCTTCGTCGCTCCTGTAGGGGGAGTGGGAAGGAGACCAGTTATATCGACGGTTCTGGTGGTGTCCTTGGCCTCGGGGATGATCCCTTGGTAGAGGATGTGCTACTACGTGGCCCCTATTTTTGTTTCCAGGGGATCATTGTGCCATGCGCGCGGGGGTGAGGTCGCGCCTCCCGGTAGCCTCGGGCATGGTTCTCTCTAGCTCGGGGCATCTGCCAGTTCATCAAGGAGAGAGGCTTCACGACCTGTCCCGTCTGTGTCTCCATGGAGGAGATTGAAGACGGTATTCATCCTGACGAGGAGGAGGGGGCTTCGCAACCTGTCCCGTATGTGCCTCCACGGGGGGGATTGAAGACGGTCTTCATCCTGACGAGGAGGAGGTGTGTCGGGCCTTCTATATCTTATGGGGGCTTGACGAGAGTCCCCGAGCACCCTTAGCTGCTCACCTTGTGCGAAAATTAGATAATTCGTCTGGTTAATTGCTGCGAACAGGGCCCGAGTCGTGGCATCAGCGCCCTGAGGGACGGGGACTTCCTGGAAAGCGTTCGGCTCATAGTTCTGGGGCGGATGGTTGCCCTTTTGTGGTCGAGTGAGCAATGAGGAAGAGGCAGTTATGCCGTCTCTATAGTTTTGCATGAGAACGGCCATGTCGCCGTCGTTCTCGTTGTTGTTGTTGTTGTTGCCCATGTGTTCGATGACATTGTTGTCGGGGTCGGCGAGATGGGCATCCAAGATGTTGTTGGCAGTTGGGTCGGCCATGACAATCGAGAATTTGGAGTTGCTTTTGTCTTAGGTAAATGAAGACGGGGAAGCTAGTTTCTTACAGACAGTGCCATTGATCGTACCTGACCAGAGTGATTGTCAAAGCCTTACGTCGAGCTGAGGTTGAAAGCGAGATGAGGGTACCTACAAGACACTTCGAGGTCAAAGTAAGTTTCAGGGAGAGTGCAAGCAAGTGAGTATGAGTATGAGAATGAATACCTGACCCTCTCAACTGAGAGGGTATTTATAGCCCCCAACGTTGGGCCAAGGTCCCGAATATTGGGCTACGATGAGGCCCAACAATGAAGATTGCCAGAGTTTACGTGTGTATGGAGTCCAGCAAGTGGACTCCCCCTGATCAACTGTTCCGTGAGAATATGGATTGGACCCGTGATTTCTGAAGGGCATTTAATATGACAGTGACGCGGGCACGTGGGCCACGTTCCCCAACGGATACGTGAACAGTTGCCTAACAATCCCTAATTTGAGTTACTTGCCTTTAGGCCTTATACAAAGATACTGGATTGGACCTCCCAACCGTGGAACAAATGCAAGCTCAGTCCAAATCAGTATTATATAATTTTAGTATTTTGTGGACACATTTTTAATCGTGTCATATTATTCTTTGGAACGTATTTGGACCAAGAATTCTGGCACAATTAAGAAGCCAAAGTTATCCACATGACTAATAACTTTATTTAAAGAAATAGTTGCTACTAGTGTCCTCTTCTTCCATATTTTTCATCCTTCTCCTCTATCAATATAAATACATTAAAATATCCAACTATAGATTAACTTATAAAGAATTCATGGGATCACAACTTACAAGATCGGAATTTTAATTTGAAATAATGCTAAAACTAATCTATTATGTGAAGTGAACAAGAACAACCATGAAAAAAATAAATAATTGAAATGAAAGGTTTGGGGTCCAGTTACAACCAAATTGCGCACCTCAACTAATTCATCTCTTTGATTTTTATCAAAAGCAATTTTGTTTGTGGTTATTCATACATCTATGTACCTTCGCCACCAATCTATAACTATTTGGAATTTAAAAGCAAATATTTCAACTCTTAAAATAAATAAGTTAAATATTGCATAAACTCACCATTTTTTAATCAATATCGCTGTACAATTATCAATTGAATTTTTTAAATAAAACATCTAATTTAAATATTTTAAATTTAAAATTATGGAAATTATTATTTGAATTTGAAAAATAAGTACTTATTTTTACAAATAAACTGAAATAGACAATCAAAATTGCAATTAATTGTTGAAATTATTATTTTATATTTTAAAGTGAATTGTCTAATTTATATGAGATTTTGAAGTCATTGATTCAGTGGTGTCAATAAAGTAATAATAATTGAGAGAAAAAAGAACCGTGTGATGAGTAATTAACGATGAATGATGCGCGAGAAACACCAACACATGAAAATTAACGAGAAACACAGAATAATTTCTCAGTGAGTAGTAGAGTTCTACTAAACTTGCTTACTACACCACACTTGAATCTTCTGAAAGTGAAGAAAATGACATTTCCAAATTGAAAAGCGACCATTTAACGGCTCTTCTAACAAACTCACTTCCAAAACCTTCAACCTCTTCTTTTTCTCTCATTTTATCTCTATTACTGTTACTTTTTCTCACCGACAACGTAACGGTTCACCGTAACCGTTTCCGGCGCCGTCGCTGATCTTCCTCCACTGCCACCGCCAGATTCACCGGTATATTGTGATTTATTTTTCGCTTTCGTTTTCTGTTTGATTTTGAGATGTGTAAATCTAATCAAATCAAATGGTTTTGACTTTCAATGCATTAGATTTTATCATAACATGCGCTTGTATTGCTCAGTTTGATCTTTGACATTGATCGTTTTTCACCCTAGTTCCTTCTGGATTTCATGATTTTATGCTTCTGCATGTTATTTATCTGCTTAATTTCAATTATAGTTAGTTTTTTTTTTTTTGGGATGAACATTATACAAAGCAAATCTCCTTAACAATGTTTTTTTGTTTGAAGATTGAACTCTGCATTTGCTGTAGTGCTGTAGTTGAAGTTGAAAGAGAAAACCACAAGTGAACTGTGATTTCGTAAAAAGAATTATTGGATAGCATCATGGTTAATAGTTTAGTGAAGATAGAATTAGAACTGTTTTTATTTTTAGTTATGAATTAGAACTTAGAAGCTTAGTTATAGAAATGGTATCACTGTTCTTCATTGGCTTGAATTGGATTCTGATATCATGTTTGGATTAACAGGTTATATTTGGTTGGATTTCAGGGATACAGAATGATAGGATCCTTTCTTACCTGGGCGCTTGTGTATGTTTCACACTGTGCTGAAATTTTGAATCTATCTGCTGATGTTAATGGGTTGCATTGTGATATTTGAGATTTATTGATTTTATTGGTTCTTTTGTGTATTGGCAGGAGTGTTTTTGGTTATGCTTATCCAGCTTATGAATGCTATAAAGTAGTTGAAAAGAATAAGCCAGAAATTGAACAACTACGATTTTGGTGTCAGTATTGGTATGGAATATAGATTGATCCTCTGTGCTAAACTTGTACCACTTATAACAACTTCTAGTAAATAATGATACAGACCGTGTTTATTATCCCATGTTGCAGGATTTTGGTTGCTGTTTTGACAGTATGTGAGAGATTTGGTGATACTTTTATATCATGGTAGATGACTCTATCTTGAAAGTCTTCTGTTCTAATTTAAAAAAAAAAAAGTTTATCATGGATTCTTATTTTTGAAATTGGCTGCTTCTTGAAGGGTCCCAATGTATAGTGAAGCTAAGTTGGCATTTTTCATATTTTTATGGTACCCCAAGACAAAGGTATTTACCATGGTAGAATCCAATATAAGTTTAGTATTTGCATCTCTTCTATATGATGGTAAAAGTTTTTGATTGTGTTAGGGAACGACATATGTATATGATTCCTTCTTTAGACCATATATTGCCAAACATGAGCCAGAAATTGATCGGAGCTTGTTGGAACTAAGGACGAGGGCGGGAGATTATGTAGTTTTGTATTGGCAAAGAGCTGCTGGTTACGGTCAGGCTAGAATATATGACATTTTGACGTTTATCACAGCACAATCAACAGCAGCAGCTCACCCTGCTCAGGTAGTTTATTACAATTATGCCTTAGTTTTGTCTACTATATATTACTTTTAGTTTTACTTAATTTTATATAAGTACATTTGGGCGTGTATAACAGAACACAATTAAAGCTAAATACAACTTATAAATACATGTATTATTAGTCTACCAAGATTTGAACCAGGAAATTTTCTAATACCCTGAATAAATATTTTTTTCTCCGACAAGTAAATTGACTCTCATTTTTAATATAGAAAGGGGAAATTTTGTAGACAACTAATGTTTCATTCATTCATACTGCTAAATATATTTCTTTCCATATTTGTGTTTTGCTAAGCATCATAAAGCTGTTATTCAATAGAAATTTTGTAGATTAACATTTGATTTATCATCAATATGGATATTGTAGTGTTTTTAGCTGCATCATATGCTTTCTTTTGACTTCCATCTTGAGAGTATTCATCATTGGAGGAAGACAAGAGAAAGGGAAACAACTCTTATCACACAATCACAACTCTTATCACACAATCACAACTCATATTCAATTCACTATATAGCACTATAATTATAGCAACGGCAACAACCTGAAAACCTAATTAACTTCTAATAATCTCATTCTTCTTCATGTATTCTCCTACTTAACAAACACTTGAAATTGCAGCAAAAACCAGGCGTTAGGGTCCGTAAACCTGCGCCTGCCAAAGGCCAGCAAGCCGCTGCTATAGAACCACAGGTTGAGGAACCCCCATCTCCTGCCTCTAGCACATCTTCAAGTCAGTTCCAGAGGGAAGTAACAGAAGAGTTGAGTTCTCAACAAGCTCCTAAAGCTGCAGTCCCCCTTGTTGCAGGTTTAAATAACCAGAAGTCTTCTGTAGCGGGTTTAATAAACCAGAAGTCTTCTGTAGCTGGTTTAATAAACCAGAAGCCTCCTGTAGCTGGTTTGACTACGCAAAAGTCTTCCATAGCAAGTTTAAATACTCAAAAGTCTTCTCCAGCAAGTTTAAATTCTCAAAAGTCTTTCGTAGCAGGTTTAATTACCCAAAAGTCTAATCCTACAACTTCAACCACCATAAAATCTGCATCAACAGAGGCAGAGCCTAAGAAGATTGAGGCAGCAGCAACACCTCCATCCTCTTCAGCAAATGAAAATGGAAAGTCTCCTATAAAGGAGACCATAATGGAAGAAAGTATTCGGGTTACACGGGGAAGACTAAGAAAAACCCGATCAGCAGCAGGAACCTCGTAGAACAATATTGTCAATTTTTAGCATGAAATAGGGGTAGTTGGACCATGCTGGACACTGATTTCTAAAGCTTTATGTGATATGATTTCCTGAGTTTTCATTCCATTTGTTGCTTCATTTTATTTCTTTTTATAAATTTGTCTAAGCATGGAATCGACGGAATCGCGTGTAGCTCGGTGCCACTTCTTACGGACTCATTCCGATCGGATGGATGTTTGTAGCAGCTGTTCCGTATAGCACAGCTTTGCGACAAAGTGTAACAAACAGTATTAACACGTAACTTGGTATAACATTTTAAATTTAAATTCTATTTTGTAGTGAAATTGATACTTGTCATCAACATACAAACATGAAATGAACGACTACTATCATTAACTTTGTCTTGATTTTGGATTTTTTTTAAGGAACCATACCCTTGGGTTTTCCGTATAAAGATTTAAGTTTTTTACTAGTGTGGTTTGGTAACGGAAGCGTTGAAGAAGTGACCATATGTCTGCCATGGTCTGTAATAATAACATAGACAATGTAACATGATTAAGATTCCACGTGCTTGGCGATAACTTGACCAATATGTCATATTCTTCCACCTCCTATTTTTAGTATTTTATTTGATTCCAATGGGGCCACCAAATATGAATTAAATATGAATTACTAAGGCTGTTCCAAATTATAAAATGCTTTGCAAAAAAAATTATCCTAAATTATAAGTAGTTTTTTTTCCTTCCAAATACTAAATCTGATCTTATACTAAATCTGATCTTATTTATAAAAGAAAGTTAATTTTTTAGATTAATTGGATTAATTGAATAATTAATGTATATGATGATATATTATACAATCAAGATATATGGATTATTAAATAAACCTAAAAAATAATTTTTTTTATTTATAAATAAGACTAGGGAGAGCTATTTTTTTCAACTTTCTTAATTTCTCTTTCATATATATGTAATTAATGAAGGATATTAATGTAAAATCATACATGATTTGCCTTTCTCTTACAAAATTAATTAGATTTCCTAATTCGTTTGAAATATTCAAATCGTCTTATAATTTTAGATAAATATTTGATGATGATTGGGAATATAAGTCTTAGAAGAAGGTGAAAGAATGCTTAATCCTTCCTAACCAAAATGACATATAATTGATGTCACATGCATTTTCAAGGCCATAGATCTCAACCCGCTATTAGTTAATCCGAAAGATAGGATTCTTAAGTTATTATGGAAAGGTGCAAGAGTTTTTAACCCTTCCTAGTCTAAAAAATTTTTTTCCTTCACATCTTTCTCTTTTGTTTTGACCTAGAAAGTGCTGCCAAGTTCCTAACCCTCCAAATAGATCAAATCATAGACAAACTTCCAATAGACTTCGCAAAACCACCTAAAAAGACAAAACTTTCAAAAAGCCTATTAGAGTCTTTTGGTATAATTGTCTTCAAGTCCAACTATATGAAAATCCTATAACAGACTATACTAATCATATCACAAGTAACAAAGAAATAAGACGATATATCAACAAGTGCACCACAAAAGAGAAAAAGATAAAGAAAAGAAAAAGAGAAAATGATAGTTTATTTTTGTTAGAGGGTTATCACAAGTTTGTTTAATGAGAATGAATGAACGAAAATATAAGTTGATTGATATTACTATGATTTGATTTTTGAGCCAAACGGTTCATTAAGATACACGAAAGCTCACTACTATAATTACTATATTATATAACAACACTTTTATCTCACCAAATAAAAATTGAGATATAATTCTTGGACGCGTCACTTTTATTTTCATAAAAAATATATCATTTATTCTCTCGATTGTAGTATATAATTGAGTAAATTAATTCAAAGTACATGTTTCGAATTCAAATAACTGTAAAATTTGTGTTTTTATTTTTTTAAAAGTGACACATTTCTTTTTATTTTATTTTTATTTAATTATTGAATAATATATTCCTTCAATTATGCTAATAATCAAGGAGTATGATACACGTATTTAACTATAAAATGATTCATTCACTATATTTTATCATAAATCTAACTCATATACATATGTTTCATACTCGTAAACATCATTATTTAGAATAGATTGCAAGACAAAAAGATTTTTTGTCATGTGTTGTTGTATTTCTAACACCAGCTTTGAACAAAATATTTTTCTGTTCTTGCAATCTATTTTACATAATGTTATTTTGTTGTTGGTGTTTCCACATGTTGCCAATGTTTAATGCTAAAAGGAAACATTGTTATATTTTAGAATCACTTCTCAATATTGTCAATAAAAAATTCTATAATATATTATTTTCTTTGGTTGACAATATTGAGAATTTTATTCCTAATCATACTGCAATTTGATTTGAATATAGCCCTTTGTTTGATTATTGTAGCATATAAAAAAATTGATGAATGGTAAAAAATTAAAAAGGAAAACAATACATGTTTCTTTTAACTTTTTCCATTCACCATTTTTTTTTACAATAGATGTAATCTGTTACCATGGTTGATTTAGACACCGAGGAGAAAATTTTCTATTTTATTTAACTTTTTTATTTAAAAAGAAATAACATTTTACCTTGATTTTATGTCTCTATCGAAGGGAAAAGTAAGTCAGTTTTGTCTCGCAATATCTTTGTCGTCCATAAGTAAATCTTTATCGTCCATTTATTGAGGATACACACTCAAGATAATATTAACATTATAATCTACAAAAAACATTAGTGATCCGCGCAAAATCATCGAGACAACTATTGAGAATGTGAACGCTGTTGGAAATCCATCAAAGTCTATGATGAATTTCTACCACAATGACAATTTAATTATGAGACAAACAAAGAAAAGAAGACAAGACAAATAATTTTTGCAGAGTTTCTCTCTGCTCACAAACTGTGAAAACTTTGTTATTCACTTGCAACTGCAAATTCTGTGAATACAACTTAATTGACTTGCTTGACTTGATTACAAAAATAGGGGTTACTCCCTCTATTTATAACTGAGCTTACACCCTAAGCCCAAAGCCCAAAATATCTATTTTGTTACTAAATCAAATCTAATTTATTCTAGACTTAAATCAAATCTATTTAAATCTAAAACAAATAAAATCTTTTCGACACATAGTTTCGACACACTGAATTACAATTTAACACACCACCTAATTCATTGTGTCTAAACTATCTATGTTCATCATAGCTCTTAGTCTTCTGAATACTTCGACTTGCACTCCCTTCATCATGATGTCTGCAATCTGATTCTCAGTTCTGCAGTGTTCCAAATTCATCTTCTTATCTGCTACCTGCTCTCAAAGATAATGGAACCTCATTTCGATGTGCTTACTTCGACCATGTGCTATTGGGTTCTTCGCCAGATTGATAGCTGACATGCTGTCGATCTTCATGGTAATTACTCCATGATCTTTCCCTGTTATCTCTTCGACCAAGTTCACCATCCAAGTTGCTTGACATGCACAAAGAGAAGCAGCTATGTATTCTGCTTCGTATGATGATAATGCCACTACTGGTTCCTTTCTTGAATTCCAAGCAACTGGTGCACCACCTAGCATAAACACATATCCTGCTGTTGACTTTCGATCTTCAGCATCACTATACCAACTCGAATCCGTGTATCCCACTAACTTGCATTCTTTTCCTTTATCAGCTGCAGGAAACAAAATGCCATAATCGAAAGTTCCTTTGAGATACCTTAGTATCCTCTTCACTGCTGCTAGATTTGATACCTTTGGCTTTTGCATGAATCTGCTTACCATACCTACACTGTATTCTAAGTCAGGCCTTGTATGACAAAGGTATCTGAATGATTCAATAAGTCTTCTGTATTGGGTTGGATCAACATCATCTTCATCTGCATCTTTCGATAGTTGCAGTCTTGGTTCTGCAGGTGTCGAAGTTGAGTTGCATTCTTCCATCTCAAACCTCTTGAGAATTTCTCCTGTATATCTTCTTTGATGCATCATCAAACCTCTACTGCTCTTGTAGAATTCGATTCCAAGGAAATATGAAATCTCATCCAAATCAGACATTTCGAATTCCTTACTGAGATCTCCTTTGAAGTTTTCGATCTCACTCTTGTAGCTACCTGTTATCAACAAATCATCTATATAGAGACATAGTATAATAAATTTACTCTTGCTTCTTCTTACATATACTCCATGTTCAGTTGAGCACTTCACAAATTCCTTCTCCCTTAGGAAACTATCAATTTTCTTATTCCAAGCCCTTGGAACTTGTTTCAATCCATATAGGGCTTTATGCAGCCTGTACACCTTTCTTTCTTCGTCATGTTTCACAAACCCAACTGGTTGTTTAACCTAGACTTCTTCATCTAAGGGTCCATTTAGGAATGCACACTTCACGTCCATCTGACATATGTGCCAACTGTTTATTTCTGCTAGACCAACAACCAACCTGATTGTTTCGATCCTAGCAACAGGTGCAAAAACTTCATCAAAGTCTATTCCTTCTTTCTGTAGAAATCCTTTCGCCACAAGTCTTGCTTTGTGTCGAGTTACTTCATCGTTCGAATTCGTTTTCACTTTGTATACCCACTTGACATCAATTGCCTTCTTGCCTTGAGGCAATTCGACAAGTGACCAAGTGTTGTTGTCTTTGATAGACTTCACTTCTTCGTTCATTGCTTTCACCCACTTCGAATCCTTCAATGCTTCAGCTGCATTAACATGTTCGACATCTGCATAGAAAGTATAATGTACCAGCTCACCTTCATCATCTATCACATCATCTGATGTAATCACACAATCTTGCAATCTTGCAGGCATGCGTCTTGTTCTTTGAGGTCTGCTTGTACTTGGTATATCTGCTGGTTCCTCTTGTCGAACTTCTCTTTCGACTTGAGTTTCTGACTCTTCGAATAGGATTCCCACTGAATCTTTCTTGACATTTTTAGTCCAATCCCATTCTTTAAACTCATCTATGATCACGTCCCTGCTGATCACAATCTTCTTATTCTCTGGATCAAACAACTTGTAGCCTCCTGT